AGGGAAGATTATCGGCAGACGCAGAGGTGACCAAAGACGGCACGGAGGGTTTGGCAGCGGGCTTCTTTAGTGAAAATTCTTCCGGTTTGGACGATTCCTTGACAGCATCCTCATAGAAGAGTTCAGAAGCCGAATCGACGGAGCGAAGACCTGATAAGGGGCGAACAAGCGGGATACCCATTTCATAACTTCTGTACGGTGACCTGTTAATCATCTTATACGTACTTATGATGTCATTCCCAGGTGTGTTAGAAAAGGAGGTAAAGATGAATCTTTGGCATTAACGGCATTTGAAGATTTGCGTCGAAATAATCGTAATTAAAATAACATGTATTTGTGGTGAACGAGACCAAAGAACATAACTGAGCTACCGCGCATTATTGCACGGTAATTTATGACTGTAAACTGTCTACTTCTTATTCTTACAGTAAATAGTTTGCTTTCATAAGACAACAGTATTTCACTGACAAAATCTTCACCGTCGGAAACCAAAAACCGCGATTTTCCATGAAAGTTGAGCTTTGTCACAATAGTAAACGTTCATACCAATTAGCGCTGGTGCTGAAAATTGCAGCAGTTCCAAACAAAAAGTTCCATCCAAAAAGTTAGGATGATCAGCATAGCATGAAGCACTGAAGTCTGTGCTATTTATTTCTGAGAAGGGCGTGACAGACCTTGAGATTATCTAAGTAAAAAACTTTCTAGTGGCGAAATGACAATGTTCTTTCGATAACAGAAGTGAAGCAGTTAAAATACTCTCGATGGCAATGGTTTTTATATTTTTTAAGAAACATATGTTGCACGAATATTTTTTAGAGTAAATGACCTCTGAATTAACCGCATAATAATGCGCTGGAGACTACCGAAAACTTGTCCAAATTGCCTTAGGCAAGTAAACTGAGGAAATTTGACGTCAGTAAAGATACCAGACGAGGTGAAAGGCGTCGAGGCTATCCCTATATGGAATAAATCAGCATACGACGACACGTTATTCAGATATAGGCAGCCAGGTTTCCCTGGCTTCTACGTGCAATACGATATTGTTTACGGCTTTCTTGAATAAACAATGTGTCGTGCCACGAAACCATTGTGCCCACCTCGTGGTCTTGAAATTATCGGTAGGCTTAAAGCATAATAGTTTGTTTTCAAAACGGAATTTTAAAGGAACGCGACTCGCTAAGATTGTTGCATACATTTTCACAGACATGGAGCATCGATCCACAACAAACACTTGACATGTATTTTAACAAGAGGATAGGGCAGCGGCACGAACCCCAGCTCACACAGCCTGAGCCTGCGTGACGCTACGTCCCATTATACACCCAAGGTCATGGTCTACCCCATCCTATTAACGAAACATAAATAGGCATCTTGGTCTTGAGTTTCGTTAATAGTGCGTGTAGGTCATGACCTGGGGTGTATGATGGGACGTAGTGTCACGCAGGCTCGGCTTTGTGAACTGGGATTCGTAGTATCACACAGGATCTATGCAGCTGCATCTCGATCTTGAGTTTTTGATGTGCTCAAACACGCAGCAATCGACGAAGGGAGGGTTATTCAGAGTAAATAAAAAGTATTCAAGCTTAGGGGAATACCCCGTCTCCCCACACCACTCTTGAAGCTGTCTGCGCATTACTAATCTCCTCGGGTGGATATTTTACATTAAAAACTAGGGTTTCGTTTAGACTCATGTTGAGACCCGCCAAGCCAAACACTAAGTAGCTTATACGAGGAGTCAAAGCAGCATACTGCCCTGCGGACAGGACTGTGCACAAAAAGAGAGAGAAGTCGACGTCTTCAAAAGGCACCTACCTTTATGCGCGGACTCCTGAGACGGAAAGAAGAGGTCTCCGACGATGGCTTTGCTATCCGACTTGAAACTGAGTTCACTGAACCGTCGGCTAGTGACTCGATTCCATACCAGACTTTGATAACTGTGAGTGTACAGCTGGCGCATATTTCGGGGGAGCTGCAACCACAAACAGGGGGATCGGTCGTAGAGTGCGTGGCAAGGCCAATATTAAAACGAAAATCGCAAAGCCAACTCAAGGTTAGCAAAAAGCATTATGTCATTACTGACAGCAGGGAGTGAGTTATCAACAAAATAGCCGGATCCGAAGAAAATAAGTGCCTAAATAGGCTGTAAATGGGCTTACCGTTTGGATGGCAGTCAGGGTCTTTCCATGACGTGCAATGCCGAGCAAGAGAGTTTTTTCAAGGCATTGCGGCATGTTTTCCCCACACGCTTTGGCATCCTGTGTCTCTATGTATTTTTCTTTCATCTGCCTCACAGCAGGCAGATCTGAAGGAAATCAAAGCACAACTTAGAAGTACTGACATTTTAATGGCATTGTTTAAAAAAAGACCGCTTGCAGCTCCCGGTAAAAGAGCTGAAAAAGAGAAAAGGAACGGGAAATTTCGGACATCACTGTCACAGCCTATCAACAGTCCATTACTGACATGCGTCAACAACTGTTAGTTTATGAAAATGCGTAAAAATATGTCGTTTTATGGGCTGTCTATTGAATTGGTCAGCTTCTTTGAAATAGACTGAGTGTGCAAAAACATTGAAGGTTCTATTCCAATCTGTTTTTAGACGTTGAATTATTATTCAGTAGCAAACAAATAAAAATACATGATACGGCGGAAGGGCGGAACAAGAATAGGCAATGAAATTGGTTCATGGTCGTCAAAAAGGTTCAGTAAAGCTGTTGTGGTCTCGAGTTATTTTTTACTACACCATACACTAATAAAACGAATAACAATACCAAACAATGAAAACGCGGGATTACTCGAGAATGCGATTTACCTAATGGAGTAGGCTTTAAAATAAGGTCAATAGCCTTTTCCCAGTCTGACTTTATAAGATACCTAAAT